GGTCGCACCTTGGAGGCGGGTAGCCTTCTGGATGGAAGTGTGTTTTGGTATTAAAATGATATTAAAATGAGCAAAGTTCACGACAGGATAGCACTTTGGCAAGGTTTCGAACACCTGTTGGCTCAGGGGGCCAGATGAGCTGCTTATCAGTTCTAGAGAACCATTTCTCCCGCTTTATCATCACGGAGCAGGGCCACGGAGTCTCCACTCCATTCCGTCCTCTATGGTACATTGCAGGGAGTTGCTGTGTGAGTGGATTCCTCGCCTGCCTGCTGCAGCTGTGTCCCATCCTTAGAGCTCCTTTTGATTTCATGCTTTTCCTCAACGGGTGAACGCTGCTATGTATTTCATATAAACCTTAATTTTCAGATGTAAAACCTTAATTTTGCTAATAATTCCACAAACGCTTGACCACTCTCTCAGAAAAAGACATGTTTTCTACAGTAAAGAGATTTTTCCTAAGTAAAGAAATTTTTCTTTATTTTTCTTAATGCCACAAGACTCGACCATGTCTGCTCTTCTGAGGTCTAGCATCTGCACTCTTCTCTTCTCCTTCCCCTGTGGAGGTGAGACCCCACTACTTCATGGTCACAAAAGCCAAGGCTGACACTGGTTTTCATGTCCATATCCAACTCTTCCTCCTTTGAGAGTAACAGGTGCAGGCGAGCATCGCCGTTGTTGGCCCATCTGGCAGCTGTGCTACAAAGACTTGTGTCCCAAGCTGTGCCTTGACCAAGACCCTCAAGAAACCTCCAGAAATGTTTTCATGCTGTTGTGGTCCCCTTCCAGTAAATGCCAGGGTAATTAAATGTGTGCTTTATGTCCCATTAAAAATGTTACTCTTCGCAGTCTCTCCTTCGACACCCACACACAAAGCCTCATCCAACTTATTCCAGCCACAGAGGAGCTCCACACATTTAAGCAGCTCCATCACACTGAGGACACCTCGCTCCTGATCTTTCTGGCTTCTCTCTCTTTATGATCCTCTATTCATCCATCACAGCACCCCAGTCTTTTGAGCTGTCCAACAGGCCTCAGCTGTTATTCCCTCAAAGTGGAACGAAGAGATGGCACATGGGGCTCCAGCTCCTCCTGCCTTTGGCCAACACTGAGGACATCGGTGCATGTCTGGACGATAGCCCGGTGGCATCAGGGCTGGGACCAGACTTGCAATGGGGAAACCTGCTACCAAGTGTCCAAGAACTCAACGGTGCAAGTCTTTTCTTCAGAGCAACGACATGCCGGAGTGGAAGGCAGATGGCTGTGTAAAGAAATGAGGTTCTCACAAAGACATAAAACCCCACTCTACCCAAGGCTGCAGAGAAACAGAGCTGGGCTGTGCAGACCAAGAAGGAGAGGGTTTTGCTGTCTGCTGTGTCTTTGCGGTCCCGAGGTCCTGTGGTGAAGATGCAGCTGATCTCAGAAAGGAAGAGATGATGCTGAAAATGTCACTGGGCGTGGACATCCTTTGATACAGGATCACTGTGAAAACCATTGGCCTGATCTGTGATTGTACCACCAAGGGGAGGGTTAAATGCTGGGGGTGAGAAGAACCAGCAGAGTTTGTGAGGGAACAAGTGTAGAGACCCTGGTGTGATGTGCTTTGTATTCATGCATTGCTCAGCATCTGCTGGGTAGAGAAGGGACAGATTTACGCTACTGCAGCGACAGGATTCCATCACTGGCCCAAAGGCACCAAATCTGTCTGAGATGCCCTGGGTGGTCCCTGTCACACAACCAGTCTGAACGGGATGGGGTTCCTGTAAAGGACTTGTGCTGTCCATGTAAGCAGCATGCAGGTGTGCTGGAGCGCCCTGGCATCTCACTCAGCACTACAGGCCTCTGTTTCAATATTAAATTACCTGAATTAGGTCAGACAATGCAGGGATGCACAGGAGACAGCTGCCATCACACTTTCAGGGCATACAGAAATATAGCTGATGGTGAACAGAGGGAGGCTCGCCTCTACCTACGGCACTTGACTCCATGTGGTCAGCTGAAGACCTACTTAGGATGCCCTAGACATAAGCAACAGTTACAGGTTCAGTTCTCATGAATGTGTACACCTGCTGTCATTTCACCTGGCCAAAGACATTTCCCACCAGTCTCCAAGGTGATGACCCCAGAAGATGCCGTGTCTCTCAGCACTGCTCCATTAGAGCTTGCAGTAACCAGCATGCATCCTGAGCAGCACTGGCACCTCAGATGTTGCCAGGAGTTTGTGTCTGAGCAGATTTCTCATGGCCTTCATCTTCATTAATCACCCTGGGAGCTGAGACAAGCAGCTCTCCTGCAGGTGCCTGTTTAGTGCACACCTGAACTGAGGCAAGAGGAATCCCACCTCCTGGGGGGTTATCTCAAGGAGCTGAGTCCCCTTCTAGCCCCAGGTCTACAGACACAGAATGAGATGTCTCTACTGAGTCAGCTGAATTCCTTTCCCTCAGAGCAGAGGTGAAGGAGATCCCTCCTGGTCACTGTCTAACGGTGGGACATGGAAAGGTGAATCTTGGACTTCACTCAGTCTGTGTTTGGAGAGAGGACATTACTACGAAGCAGTGTGTCTCCTCTGCTGAGAGAGGGAACATCAGTGATTCCGTCAGCCTGTTTCACAGCAGGTTCCTCTGGAGCTCCAGGGACACTTGGAGGGAGCCCAGAGGGGACAGAGTAAGCAATGCCTTGGGCTGGTCCTCTGCTGCTGAGCTGGGCTGGGCTACTGGGATGGAGGGAGCTCATGACAACCAGGCAGTGTGGCACAGACAGAGCTCTGCCCAGGAGCAGCTCTTCTGAAAAGCACAATAGGGCTGAGGGCACTGCCTGCAGGCACCAAGGAGAGAGGCGAGATGTGAGAAAAATATTACAGGCACTGTGGAGTGGGAGACTGCTGAGAGCTCACTGGTGGAGAAATCTTCTGAGTCCTTAACACAGTAAGTGTCTGGCTTCAGGGCCATACACGAGTGTCCTGGAGGGGTCTCCTAGAGCTCACACATCGTGCTACTGATGGGACCTGGCAGGATGGATCTCAGAGTTTCTGTATTGTGGAGAAGGACATGCTCCGGAGCAGGGCTTTCCTACAGCACCATTACAGGGACAGGGCGTGAAAGCTTCCTTCTCCCAGGAAAGGCTGCAAGGGTGGGAAGCCGTGTGTTCAGGCAGGGGTGCCCATGGCTGTCCTTCAGAGCAGGGTCCCTGCACCCCAGGGGCTGTGTCCTGGGGCAAGGACTCTGCCTCTTGCTAAGGTCAGCTCTCAGCCTGTCCTGGGAACTCCCCACAGCACCATGGGGATAAGCTATGGGTGGAAGCGGTGATGCCTGCCAGGGCAGGGTCCTTTTGCTGTTGTGAGGATGGTGCATGGGTCAGAGATGCTCACAGCTCCTGATAACCCCGGGGCACTTGCAGAGCTCCCTTCCGGAGGAGGACATCAAGACAGTATTTTCCTGAAAGTGAAGGAGTCTGTGATTTGAGTTATCCACACATTACTGACAGGGGGGGGGAGGTGAGGTGAATTTCAGATAGGAATTTATTTCTCCTCTGTGGTGAAAGCACGGAGATCCCACTTTTCATTAAGACCTACCTGATCTGCTCCTGAGCCCCTGCCCACACCGAGGTACCCCTGGGCAGTGCCCTGCTGCTGGGAGGGGTCTCAGGGCAGAGCTGAGCGTGCAGTGGGTGGGATGGGGTCTGTGAGCAGAGACAGGGAGGAGATGTGGGGATGGAGAAACAACTGCTGGCAGGGTCAGCTGTGGGCAGCAGAGACATGGGCAGGGAGTGAGAGGGAGCTGCTGCCAGAAATGCCGTGGGAGGGGGGATTCAGACACCTCCACGCCATCACCTGCACTGCAGATGCTTTCCCCAGAGCAAGACACTGACTTCTGCCATTCAGCAGAGCCTTCACTCAAAGGACACAGGGTTCACAGCAGGAGTTACCTCCTTGGCAGAATTACTCCAATGAGGGGGAACACATGAGTACTCATCTTTTTGTCCCTGTACATCTTTTGTCTCCGTTAACAGGAGGATTGGGGAATTTCTCCATTTTTCCTCTCCTCTGCATGCTGCCTTTGTTCCCAGCTAAGGTGGGAGCTCCGGGCAATGGTGTTTGCAGGGCTCAGGGAGGCAACTCCCCATTCAGGACATGGGATCTTCTGGACATTCCCTTATTGCCCTGGGAGGTCCTGCTGGGCTGCAGGGTGTCTTCCAGAAGGGCACAGCTCTCCCATTCCATCCCTGTGTTACCTCACAGTCCCTCAGTACTGAGGCCATGGAAATGCTGCTGGAAGGCTGTGTGCAAGCAGATGTGATGAGACCTCTGTGTCCCTGGCTGGCAGGGCAGGGCTGAGCTCCTCCTCGGGTAGGATGAGACAGTATGAGGAGTTTGGAGATGTGCCCTTAGCGACTGGATTCACCTGCTGTCAGCATTGTCCAGATTCTTCTCAGAGGAACCTCTGAGTGCAATCGCCCTCCAGCTCAAAGAGGTGACAGCCTAGGGCAGCTGAGACCAGGGCTGACTGACACAACTGTCCTCACTCTGCATGAAGTGATAGACACTGTGCCTCACAAGAACCAGTGGTTTCTCTTGGACACAATGAGAAATGCCAAGGAATTCTGCCTTTAAAATACGACACAATGTGATGGGGCAATTAGAAAAAAATAGCTAAAACAAAATCCCTAGAGCTCTGCTCTGTACTTCAGTGAACTGGGAGTGACAGTGCTGAAAAGCTCTCTAATACCACAAGTGGATTTTATTTAACATCACTCGCAGTTCCTATGAATTCAGTCTTGTAGGGCAGAACACCTTCACCCAGACCCCACAGCACAGCCCCCTGCTCTGTGCGGCATCCTAAGCCACCACCCACCAGAGTTCACAGCCAAAGTTCTTTCTGAATGGGGAGAGGGGAGGTGGGGGGGATTCCATGAGAAGTGGAATAGATTTTTCTCTGGGATGTCTACCCTAACTTGTCACTGCCTCTTCCTCCTTGGACAGGTCCCATGCCCAGAAGAAGCAAATGTCCAACAGCAGCTCCATCACTGAGTTCCTCCTCCTGGCATTTGCAGACACACGGGAGTTGCAGCTCTTGACCTTCTGGCTCTTCCTGGGCATCTACCTGGCTGCCCTCGTGGGCAATGGCCTCATCATCACTGCCATAGCCTGCAACCGCCGCCTCCACACCCCCATGTACTTCTTCCTTCTCACCCTCTCCCTCTCCGTTCTTGACCTGGGTTGCATCTCCACCACTGTTCCCAAAGCCATGGCCAATTTCTTCTGGCACATCAGCTGCATCTCCTACTGGGGGTGTGCTACACAGGTCCTTTTTTTCTTTTTCTGTGCTGCAGCAGAGTTTTATCTTCTCACTGTCATGGCCTATGACCGCTATGTTGCAATCTGCAAACCCCC